AAATAAGGAATAGACCTCCCAACAACTAACCTGGCCACTTATCCCTCCTATCATTTGTGGGGTTAAAGTAACAAGAATAGATGGAGCAAGCGACGGAGTAACTTGGGCGACAACAGTCCTGAGAGCTATGCTTGCGGTATCACGATGCTGGTCTTTCCCATGCAGCAGTTTATCACATAATTTGTTGGTCATTTCGACAATTCGTTCTTCTCCAACCTTCTTCACCAATGGGGCAAGACTGGAACAAAATCATACATCAAAGGTCGACAACAGATTAGCTAAATATAAAGGCTCGCGGCCTAGAAAAACAAAGCCGTAATATAAGATATACCAAGACAGACACAGAACATTTGAATGCCAATTGTAAAACGTCAGCTTAGTTCATAAGTTGCTAAGAGCAGAGAGCTAACCATTTAACAGCCAATCCAGAAACATCACCAGCCACATCATCGAGCTGTTGCAATATGATACTCGACAATCTCATCTCCAAGTCCGTGTCAAGTTTAAAGGAATCCTTATTCAACTCATTAAGCAAATCAGAGGTTGCCATGTATCTGTAATCTTTATCTTTACCCGTCATCTGAACATAAAGTAAATACAGCATTAAGAAATGGTGACTATACTCAAGAAAAAGAAAATTGAGCTTAATTCGAAATAGATGATGAAAAGACCTTTTCGATTATCCCAGACACTTGTAAGTTCGCCATCTTGGCCTGTCCTTATCAATTCACTCCTTCCAACTGCAATCAAACAAGGATCTCAAATTTCTTTACACAGTAAAAAGAGAATAAAGCATTCGTTGGACTAAAACGCTTAGGCAGAGCAATGTCACTCTAATAAGCTCTTCACAAAGGTCAAAACGTATGAAACAAAGCCAGAAGTACAAAGAAGAAGCATCGACGATGGATTAATTATCTCCCGTAACAAAACCTAATTAATATCCCTAAGAAAACTTTTGATTCATAGAAGATCACAAAGAAGAAGTTCGGTTTGATAAATCAAAGTATCGTCGCCAGCAAAACCCTAAGACTACGAGTACGAGTACGACTATGAGGACTAAAAGAGTTAACGCTAGACATCATCAGACTTTTTCGATCAAAAAGTAAAAAAAGAGGAAACCCTAAGTTACCTGAGAAGATGAAATCGACGGAGGTAACGCCGGAGACGAAGTAAGAACGCCGAGAGTTCCGATTTGGTGGTGGTGGAAGTTGCGGAGAGGAGAGAGCTCTGAGGAAAGTAAAAAAAGATGGAGGAGGAGATACTGTAATTTTCCGTACTTGTGAAAGCTTGATTTTTCGACCTTCTCTCTTCTTAACAAGGAAGTTTATAACTTTCTTCTAAATGGGCCGGAGTGGGATTAGTGATTTGAGTCGGTTAATACTAAATGGGCTTGGCCCAATTAGTTTGTTTTTAGTCTGAGCCCAAGCATGGGTTTCTTAGTTTTGTTTTCGTAGTTGTCGGCAACCAGTGCCAGTGCCAGTGCCATGCCATGCGAGTATGCGACCAACAAAATTGTGTTTATTTCTTAATGGTGATACATTTTTGAACCAAGATCACATGTTAAATGTTTCCAACAACTAAAAAATAAACATGATTTTCGTTGGTGATAGTTATCGCTAACGATTATAAAAATTAAACCGATTGTCGTTGTTGCTAACGATTACAAACAAATAAAACAGTAAAATATGGTATAGCTGGGAGATTGTTTGTCGAAATTAGACTTTCTTTAGTTTGAATTTATATTTGCTATGTCAATTTTGAAGGAGATAAAACTATAATTGAAATCCATCTTTTAATCAAGATAAATGACTTTTTTATATCAAAAATCTATATATAATAGCAATCTAATAAATACCATCTGCACATCTGAGCGGTTGCATCTTTTTATCACGACCTTTCGTTTTAATATTTACTGTTATTTTTTACGATCGTGTCTTTTATCGCAACTCTTCGTTAAAATATTGACGGTTACTTTTTTTGTTGACGGTTATTTTTCGGTTGTGTCTTTTTATCGCAATTTTCCGTTAAAATATTTGCGGTTACTTTTTTCGTTTGTGTCTTGTTATCGTAACTTTCCGTAAATATATTGACAGTTATTTTTCCCGGTTGTGTCTTTTTATCGCAACTTTCCGTTAAAATATTGACGGTTATTTTTTCTCGGTTGTGTCTTTTTATCAAAACTCTTCGTTAAAATATTGACTGTTAATTTTTTTGTTGATGATTATTTTTCGGTTGCGTCCTTTTATTGCCACTTTCGGTTAAAATATTGACGGTTACTTTTTTCGTTTCTGTCTTTTTATCGCAACTTTCCGTTAAAATATTGACGGTTATTTTTTCTTGGTTGTGTCTTTTTATCGATACTCTTCGTTAAAATATTAATGGTTATTTTTTTTCGGTTATGTCTTTTTATCGCAACTCTTCGTTAAATATTGACGGTTACTTTTTTCGTTGACGGTTATTTTTTCGGTTGTTTTTATCGTAATTTTCCGTTAAAATATTGACGGTTACTTTTTTCATTTGTGTCTTTCTATCCCAACTTTCCGTTAAAATATTGACGGTTAGTTTTCTCGGTTTTGTTTTTTTTATCATAATTTTCCGTTGACGGTTATTTTTCTCGGTTGTGTCTCTTTATCGTAACACTTCGTTAAAATATTGACGGTTATTTTTTTCCGTTGATGGTTATTTTTTTGGTCGTGTCTTTTTTTCACAACTTTCCATTAAAATATTGAGGGTTACTTTTTTCGTTTCTATCTTTTTATCGCAATTTTTCGTTAAAATATTGACGGTTATTTTTTTTTGTTGTGTCTTTTTATCGCAACTCTTCGTTAAAATATTGACGGTTATATTTTTTGTTGACTGTTATTTTTTTTGTTGTCTTTTTATCGTAACTTTTCGTTAAAATATTGACGATTACTTTTTCATTTGTGTCTTTTTATCGCAACTTTCCGTTAAAATATTGATGGTTATTTTTTTCGGTTGTCTCTTTTTATCGCAACTTTTCGTTAAAATATTGACGGTTATTTTTTCAAGGTTGTGTCTTTTTATCTCAACTCTTTGTTAAAATATGGACGGTTACTTTTTTCGTTGGCGGTTATTTTTTTGGTTATGTATTTTTTTGCAACTTTCCGTTAAAATATTGACGGTTACTTTTTTTATTTTGTGTCTTTTTATCGCAATTTTCCGTTAAAATATTGACGGTTATTTTTTCTAAGTTGTGTCTTTTTATCGCATCTTATCGTTAAAATATTGACGGTTATTTGTTTAATTATAGTCGTATTTTTTCAGTTTAAGATTGTATCTTTGTAGTTGCATCTATTCATTTAAAATTACGTCTCTTCACTATATTTCATTGCATTTTTCGTCATAACTTTTTGTATGAATAGTTGTCTATTTAAATGTTCGTAACTTTTGAACACTATATATTTGTCCTTCTTTCTAAGCAGTTCCCAAATTTTTGTTCTTTAACATAGAATATTTGTTTCATGATGAATCCAAAAAAAAAAAAAAATCTGTAAAATGGCTTCACATTCTATATTCTCTAAACTATTTCTAAACATACATCATTTTAATATTAAAGAAATTCTTCTCATTCTTGATCTAACCAAAGTATTTTGGTTATAAAATTCTTATGAAGATACTAACAATTTTTTCTTAGAATTGGACGGATTATGCAATGAATTTTTCTATTTAACTATTTTATATGGTAACAATGATGTTTTCTATCTTAAGGCAATATATATGGATTGTATATAACAAAATATTGATGATGCGTTAACACTATTACAAAGTCCGAATATGAGAAGACATCCTTATGTGACGCTTGTGATTGAGCGCTTTAAATGTGGTAAGCGTCAAATGGACCGTTTCAAATGGTTTAGTAATCTAGAAATCATTAACATTATCAGAAAAAAAAAAAACAGTGATTTTAATTCGTCACATGAATATTCAAGGACGAAGTTTTTTTATTCTGTTAATTTATATTTATAAGATCTTGTAAATGTTTATTTGTTTGTTATAGATGTAATTTACGTCATCAAATTTTATATTTTCTCAAATATATATAATAGATATTAATTTTCTATTCAAATAACAGTGAGCAAACAAAAAACACTAATTCTCGGACGAAGTTCTTAGTCACCCACAAGTCATGTTGAGTACCGACTCCATCCGAATTTTTGGGTTTTGACCCGCTAGAATTTTTCATCTCTATATTATAACTCTTCGTTATGTATTTTGTCAATTATAAATAATTTAAAATTCATAAAAATGTTTCAAAAGATTTTTTTTTATCATAATTCTTCTCTTTTACATTTTTATTCATAAATTGTTTAAAATCCTTGGAAAATATTTACGATATAACTTAAAAACATAGTTAGTTTTATGTAATAATTCAAATATTTGAATATATTATCATAATAATTTAATACATAAACACAATCATATATATTTGTTGAAAATGAGTTCCCCCGCGACATCGCGGGGTTCATAACCTAGTAATAATAGTGGCAATCATCTATTACTAATAAAAGTAACTAATTGAAGCTTCTCAGTCTGTCCACATCATATTTCTAAACTATTACCTAATAAGTTGCCACGTCAGCACTCTCTCATTTCTTCAAAAAATCATGCCACATCATCTTAGAATTTTAGGTTTTAGTTAAGAGGCTTTTGTTGGTTATAAGACATATCTCTTAAGTTAAGAGTTGTCTTAAGAGCCTATGGATAATGATGGTCTTAGTCTGTAGAATCGACGATTAAATTTCCCTTACCCTCTTTGATATCTTCTTCACTGTAGCAATATGGAGAGTCGTCAATCGTCTTCTTCTATCATCAACACTCAAGATTTCTTTAAACAATGTAGAAGATACTGTAATATACATTTCATTTTATCTTGCGGTTGTAGTCATCTGTGGATTTATTCTTTGATTTACCTTTCGGTGAAATTCACAATCTGATCTACTCTATTTGATTATAAACAAGTCATGATTTTGAGTCAAACAATGGTTACTGAGGCTGAGATCAGGGTTCTTGACGTTAAGTGCCATATCTCCGCTGCTAAAGATCAGAAGAATTTTCATATCGACGAAGTTCGTGTTTCTGAGTCTGTCTGTGCTGAGATTTCCGGTTCTGCTGAAACGCCTAGATTCAGATCGGTATGTGTTTTGGTTTCTTATTCTAAAAATCGCTCATTTTTATTTATTGGGTTTCTTAGAAATATCCCTTGAAATGGATCATGTTAGTCTTCCTCATAATTGAGTTTGTTCGTTTAGATTACGAGTTATAATTAGGTTTTGAGATTAGATCGTTACTTGAAATTCTGATAATGATCCAATTCTGCATCAGGGCTTATATTAGTGAATCAACCAGTGAGTTTATCGCAACTATACGTTCAGGGAGCTTTGCTGACATTCGAAGCCAAGAAACAATGGAGGATGAACACATTTGCATAGATGACTTGTCAGCTCATCTTGGATCCTTTAACCTCTCGGTACCAAGTGCTTTTTATGGCGTGTTTGATGGACATGGTGGACCTGAGGCAGCACTTTTCATGAAGGAGAACTTAACAAGATTGTTTTTTCAAGATGTTGTATTTTCAGAGATGCCCTCCATTGTCGTCCGTAAGAATTATCAAAAAACTTAATATGTCGTCTTACGAAAAAAGTTTAAACATTAAACAGTAACATTTGTAAAAAGCTAATTACTAAAACCTTTCTTAACATAATTTTTTTTAAAAATTAAAATATAAATCTCTTAGGTAGTGCGTTAAAACTCTCAACTCAACTGTGTAGTATATACCGGGCGTAGCCTGGATTTTTCTCTAGTATATATAATAGCGCAGTTTTCTCTCCTCTAAGAGCATCCACGTCACTACACTATTTTTGGTGGACCTCACAGTATTATATTAAGCATTTTTTGTGAACGATTGCAAATTAAAGATGAATACGTTCATTTTTTTCATAATGGGCCTACTAAAGCATCTTCTAAAGTCGAAAATGTATTCGCTCATAATGGACCTAATCAAGATTCTATTATATATGATTATTGGGCCTAAGATCCGTTTCTTATGAAGATATAGGTATTTCTCTCTACTCTAACTCATCTTCTCAAGACATTTGTTTTCTTCGACGCTGCCGTTGTCGATAAACTTCACCGACGAGAAGCTCAAACATCAACACCTAATCACAACTAAGATACTTATATACATGTCTTAATTCGTTCCAATTCCACTACTTTCTACTTAATTCATGAGTTTAATTTTCCAAACGAAACTGTAATTGGAGTAAATCATAAGTTGCATATAGATCTCCATCAAAGTATTCAGAGAATTCAATACTTGGGAACGAGAGAACATTTCGGAACCGCTCAACGTTATAGGGTGACTTTAATTCGTAACCTAACTGAAAAAGGAAACAAAGAAACCTTGTCATTAAAATGTGTCAGTTGATTGTATTTTTATCTTCCACGAAAACCACAATAATTCATGATTGATGTTTAATGAAATCGAGTAATAAAATAAGGCAATAAAACTATACTACAACACTAAAAACAACAAAAAGTGAAAATGTTACATTTAATATTACAATAAATGAAACATGTGATGTCACAAGGAACAACAACGTCTTAAAATTCTTAACTCCATTTTGATGCATGACATATTTTATTTTAATCACATATCACATTTTACGAATTGCAATATGCCAAGAATTCTCTTAAAGTAAATGCACATAATTTTAAAAATAAAAGAAAAGGTTCATAAATGAGTTTACTTGTGACACCAACCAAACATTTACTCAACCTAATACGTCATTCATATTAGGACTTGACTTACACTCGCCAGGACAATCTCCAACTCTCCATTAATAGAAATATTATAATTTATTGCATTCTTTGTTTTCCGCGCAATTTATTTTTAGATCTCTTTTTTGGGTGCAAATTTTAGATCATGAGATGAATTACATACAGCCTATTTTTTTTCAAAATAATATCAAAACAAGACAGGCAATGGCATAACATTTTAATATACACTTAACAACAAGAAATCGGACCTAATATATAGGTTTCAACTTCTGCTAATTTTGTAATGGAATTGGTGCTGATACACTTCCTCTATTAAAGTATTAAATATCACTATGAAAAAAAAAAAGTTTTATATGAGAAAAGTTGCACGATAAAAATCTAAAATGAAAATCCCAATGCACTTGGGGTCAGATCGCCAAGAAATTTCTTAAACATATTAGAAAACATCAAAACCTTATCTTACACACTCCAAAGTCCAAGGTTATTATAGTACCCTATAATTAAAACACATATTTGTAAAGCTACCTAAACAATGATTAACAAAAAAAAGAAAGGGCTAAACATTAACCATACGATAAGCAAGTACTTAATTTAATCACATGAGTGAAGTTATAAGGACAGTCTTAACTTAAACTAAGGATTAATAGAAGCAAAATTTTCAGTAGTAGCGTTATTATTACCAGCAGAAAGCTCAACATTGTTATTAACGTTGTTGTTGTTGCTCTTCTTGGATAGATTGTGTTTGTTGTTGTGCATCCAAACTTTAAGAACTCTTCTCCTAATTCCGATCTCTTGACAAAGTTGTTGAACAACAGATTCCTCTTGTCTCTGAATCTTCCAACCAACTCTCTCAGCAAAACTCATCATCTTTTCCTTTTGCTCTTGAGTAAACTTTGTCCTAAACCTCTTCTTCTGATTATGTCCGTAACTATACGATGGTGGTGGTGGTGGTGGTTGCCGGAATGTCAAGCTTCCTCCGGCGTCTTCCTCCATAAGATCCTCTGACTCTGAGTTGGATCCAGCGGTTGTAACGCCAACTGGCATTATCATTTGTTGTGGTAATGGTGATTTGATCATCTTGTGGTGGAACATGAGTTTTCTCTGCGGCGGAGGTAGTTGGTGGTGGTTGAGGTAAGGGGAAAAGAAGGTTTTTTGTTCACCTTCAATTTCTCTTCTATGGAAGTTTCTATGGCAGTTGCAAGCTGAACAAGTGAGAGCTTCAATGGAACCTTCTTCACCACTTGGCATAAACTCTCCACAACCATCAATGGCATTGCCTCCCATGGTAGCTGCATGATTCTTTAGGCATTCCTTGTACTTGATCACCACAGGCTTCTCTTTCTTGATGTTGTTGTTGCTGACCATGATGTTGTAACCCACATGATGATGATGAGAATGTTCATGATTTTTGCCAAGACCATTACCATTTGAGGAGACTAGTAGTGGGTTTGAAGTAGTCATGTTGAGAGATGATGGTGCAGAATTGGCATGATGATGATGAGGATGATGGATCATGTTCCCATGCCCACCACCACTATTACCGTAACTAGTGTTTATTGGAATAGGATCATCTTGACTTGCAATCTCCATTCTCTTGATCTATATCTGCTTAGAAAATAAACACGGTTATTTGAAACTTTTTTTTTTGAGTTTTGCAAAGTGTTTTTTATTAGTTTGGGGACAAAGAAACTAGTTAGGAAGAAAAAACAAGAGTAAAGATTATTAATGAGTAAAATCAAATGATTAAGCTACAAAAAGGCAAGAGCTTTCTTCACTACTCGTTAAACCCATTTTTTAATAATTTACTCCAAACAATAAGAAAAACCCTAATTTTAGAAGGTCCATAAAGATAGAGGACAAAACGAAAAAGTACAAAAGAAAAGAAAAACTTATTGCAAGCCTGCTTAAGCAAAAGCTGACAAACCCACTTGAGAAATAAAGGTCTTATTTCAAGTGAGAGGTTGATGATAATCAAGAAGACATTCTAACCCAATCTTTATTGTATCATCAAAACAAAATTGTTCTCTTTAACTCAAATGAAAATTTGACTGAAGAAATTAAGAGCACATACCCTAACAACCAGAAAAAGCAGCAAACTTTATCTTAAAATGCTTCTTAATTAAATTCAAAACTTTTCTTGAGAATAATCAGGAAGAATAAACCACAAGGATCTGAGAAATAGAGAGAGGCCAAGGAGTTTAGAGATTTAATTAGGGTTTTATAAAGTGATAGACTTTGAAGAAAGAAGATAAAGAGAGAGAGAAAGAGAGAATTGCAGGTGGGTTTTGGATGTGAAGGCACTTCTTAAACTAAGGGCTAGAGTATTAGTAGTGAAAGCCTAAAGCCTATAAACTATAAAGCATGAGAGAGACACTTGAAAACCATAGCCATAGCTAATTATTTGCTCACTTTTCTACAGACAAAGAAAAAAACATCATTAATTAATTACATCACTTTGACCTAGTTTTCATTTTATTAATTCATAGGATATTTTATTAGTAATGCATCTACAAAATTTAATTTGGGTGGAGAATATTTTGACAACAATACTATACAATTGTGATCAAAATTTGGAACAGAAAAATAAAGCTACATCATGTAATTTAGAATTTTAAGAAACAACAAAATTCACTGAACTAGACTTTATACAATAAGTTATTGTTCATTTTTTCTTTAAATATTTTTACTCGTGAACTGTCATTTTACAATATTAAAATGTATCGCAATCATCAATGTATCTAAGGTAATACTGAAATATAAGAATTTCATATTCACCCAAAACAAATTAGCAATAGAGGGAGACAAGAATTAAGGATTATGGGAGATTGCTTGGCTTGCACTATCAGACGTCAAATTTACAACAGTGTATAAACGTGTCAGATATTTAGTGGGAAGAGTATTGAAGCAGATAACAAACAGAAAAGTCATAATAAATAACAATATCTCTTCTTCGTACCAAAACATAAAACAATAAAAAAAATGTTGGTATTAATTAATCTATTTTGTAAGATATAATGCCTCAACTTGTTGAGCTAGTTAAAAACACATATTTACCCAAAATCACATCGATAATTATCCTTCGCCATTAATTATGTCACGTACGATATTAGCTTCAAGAGGTTGTCATGTTATGCATGTGAATTTATATGATTTACTTGAATTTCTATTAATTATTGGTCCTACAAAATATGTTCACTTATATACCATGATCTTCCTTTTCTGGAACAGACAATTGTAAAAAAGAAACAAAAGATAAAACAACAAAAGAAAAATATCATAATTAACTGATAATTTAGTTACTGTAAATCTATTCATAAATCAAAGTCTGTTGCGAGTTTTGTTAAATCAAAAATCTTGAATATTATTAAAATAAAAATTATTGAAGTTCTTTTTTCAAATAAAATAAAAATCTCTAATTAAGAGAATTGTAAATTTTGGCCTAAGTATAGTATGTAGTGGTAAATGGATTTTTTTCTTGCTTAACATAGATAAAAGTAGAGATTTTGGCCTAAGTATAGTATGTATGTGTTGTCTATTCTTCTGAACTCTGGTAAAATTCTTTCCATTGTAGCAGCTTTTTATAAATCTCTTTTATATTTTTTGTACCTTACGATTTACGATAGGAAAAATCATTGCCAACTACACGAATTATACGCCAACACATCACCACATATGCAGACTATTTTAATGTCTCGCTAACTACACGAACTATTGGTATTACATACGGACATCCCCGAACTATCATCGGTTATGTGTGCAACACCATAACCATCATTTTCAGATAATATAAATGTCTTGTTAACTACACGAAGTATTTCTTTTTTTTGTCAACTACACGAAGTA